CAAAATGTTCTGAAAACTAGACAAAATTTCGGACGACTTTCACATTTTGAGAAAAAGCTGATTCTTGAACCACGACGTGGTAATCCCACCATGACGTGGTGAATGGAATCTCTGCGATTCTTGATGCTAACTTGGAGAATACGGGATAAACTCGAGGACCACGACATGGTTCCATTACCACGACGTGGTGGCCAGATTTTGGTAACTATATATATCTCGACATTAGGTCGATTCCAAAAGAGAAAGGGTTTAAGGATGCGACTATTAAGAAAAAAAATACCCTTCCAAGACCCCTTTGAGGGCAGAATTCAACTAGAGATCAAAGGATAAAGAGATTAGAGAAATAATTCGCATCTACACATTCAGTTTGCCTAGCTTAATCATGTTTAGTCTAGTTTCCCTTATGTTTATGTGTTTTCCAGCTGTGATTATGGGCTAAAAACCCTTGCTTTCGTTTAGATTAAATTAACTCTTGAATACAATGTGTTGATTTCTTGTTTGATGGATTGATGAAATTGGTTTTTGCTTTAAATATTGTTTGATAAGTCTAAACCTAGCTTGTTAAAGTTTCTATCTTGATTGCCTTGTCTCAAGTTTTGTGTAGTTAAACTGCAATTAGTTGCATGAACTTGGTTTACCTAGTTGTTTATGACCATTAAATTGCTAGAGCTAGAGATTGACCATATCCTAGTATAGGTGATAAGTTAGTTGTTTAACTGTGTTAGAGAGGAGTATTTGATCATAATATTTGCTCGATTACTAGACTTGACCGAAGAATAGTAGTCTGTAGATTCTATCATTCAGAGTTCAAATTACCTTTAAAATCAATTTAGTGTCCTTAACTTGAATGATCATTGGGATTAAAGTTGTTAAATTGACTTATGCTGGTTAGTCTGACCATGATGACTAGTAACTATTATTTGGTAACTAACAGAATTAATCCATTTTCTTGAAATCAACTATAGGAAACAGGATGGATTCGAAGCTAAACAAAAGTATCCTTTATTCTTGATTTAAAATCGTTTTTCTAGTTGTTTACTTTAGTAATTAGTTTGTTATTTTAATTTAAGTTTTTCCGAACTTGTAAAATTAGATAAAAACCCCAATTTTAGTTGTTTTTCTTAATTTAGTTTTTTGTAGTTATTTTATTAATTAAATACCGTTCCCTGTGATCGACACCCAACTTACCTAAATTATTCTATAATTCGACTAGATACACTGCCTAGGTGCATTCTAGCTAGTTAAGTTCGTTAGGTTATAAATTTAAAACTAGATATGTATAATTTGTGCACAGCACATATCTTATCCACATATCATCTAAACATCAAGGTATCTATATGGGAATCACACTTTTAACTTACTGTCATTCAAGTAGTTAAGTTTTTCAATGAATCATTATATTATATACTACATGTGATTGGCATGATCATAAGTGAATTATGATTCCTACTATGATACCCTTAGTACTTCACATTACTTATTTAGGCAATGTACTTTAGTCAAAGCAACATACCCACTGGATTATCATATTTTTGCTTGTAAAAGAACATACATATCATATTCGTCGCTAGCAAATAAAACCACAAGTCATATAAAAACTATGTATTAAAATTTCTAGATTGTTTTTGTTGGAAGTTAATAAAAACTATATAATTAGTATTCGATTCATAAATGGTGGTTAGTCTTGGAATTGACGTTTTCAGATTGAGGGTGGGGTCAAATCTTCTCAAATAATAGAGCTTCAAGAGGCCCTTCATTCCTTTGCTCTCTCATATCAACAAAACATTTGGTGTTAGGATCTTGATTCTAATTTAGAGTACACGGTTGGTTTGATCAGAAGTTCTATTAATTCCCATGTCTTGGACGTGAGAGACAAGAGACAATGTGGAATAGGGTGACCCATGTAAAAATTAATAACTTGGGTTGGAGGAATTATTTGGATCGAGTTCATACTCATATCAATTCGGTTAATCAGGATGTTAATATGTATTTGATTAGATGAAATTTGTTTGATAGGTTTATGGAGGCAACTGGTCATTTGTTTCTAAATTCCGGTGTGCTTCTTTCACGAAGTCTTATTAGCCGTTGGTGGGACATTCAATTTCCCTCGGGTGGTTCGAATGAATAATGGATTTTTTTGGGTTGACATGTTGAGTTATCGGGTATCACTACTCTGCAACACTAATGCTCGGATGATGATGTGTGTATGTGTGTGTGTTTTATTTATTTATTTATTTTCTATTTGAGTGGGGAGGTGATTCGTACACAACAAAATTTCTTCATACACAACAATTTGTGCATTAAAATGTTGTATTGTACAACTCAATCAAACATAAAATGTTGTGTACAAATCATTTGAGTGGTGTGGTATTACAAGAATTTGTTGGTCTTTGAAACCCAAAAGCGAAGGGATTATATGGTTTTTTATAAGATTTTCAATCTTTCGTTAATATTTACTAAGAAACCAAAAACTGTAACTTTATTTTGGTCGTTTGGTTATGAAATTCAAAATTGATTATTTTCTATTTGTAATTGTAGGTTCCAAGAAATAGTAAACATAGACGTATTTTGCACGGAATAATTGATCTACTAGTCGTTGGTTCGTTTACGACAGGTGGAATTTGTTATAAATAACAAACAATCTTAATCGTTGACTTTTAAAAATACAATTTACCTTTTTATTTAAATATGTAAAACTTAAAAGTCTTGTATCGCTTTTGGACGAAAAAAGGGCGTGTGGATGAAAGAATATAAAAATAGATTGTGAAGTGCAGTAATTAATATAAACTTTGACAAAGTAAATGTATCCATTGATTCGAACCAAAGGGCATGCACCAACTTCTCAGTTTGTTTTTCTAATAATTATAGTATATTATAAATATTTAGTTTACTGAGCTATCTAGTCATTTAGATACGTTAAATTTAGTTTGTTTTTTATTTATACTTATGTGTTTTTTTTCCTTCTTTGTTTTTTTTGAATGACAAATTTATTAAAAACTAGCAAGGCGCTACACAAAATTACATAGTACATGCATTACAAGTATCAATTCACCATTCAAACCAACTAATGAAATTAAAAGAAGATCTATGCCTTAATCCAATTAAACGAAACTAATTGGATATCATCCGCCAATTTTAAAGGAGAGCATCTCTTTTTGTTAAACATCATAGAATTCCATGCATGAGATTAACCAAATCATAGAGTAGATGGGGGTAAGTTTGAGCAGTGGCGTAGCCAGGATTTTGTTTTAGGGTAGACCAAATAATATACAAAATATGATCGAGTGGCAAAATTCATCAAACGATAACAAAATGTAACTATATGCATTCTTAACTAAATTGTTTATTTAAATTGCATATGATGTTGTCTTACATCATTAAAATAATCTAAAATGGAGTCTAATCGACATAGACAAGAATATATTCTTTTCTACTAACTAAAAGTTTTGAATGAAATAGACCATATTACAACCCTAATTCATTTTATTTAACAAAAATATATATTATACATACCATATATATGTAACTTTAATTTTGTGTGGGTGGGCCTCTGCCCACTCTTGCCTTATATTGGCTACGCCCATGAGTTTGAATTTTTTCTTCTTATGAGAAACCGGGGTTGCCAAGTTGCACTTGAAAAAAGTATGATCCACTATCCCCAGGAATCGAAGCTAACAACCCACTCCAAGTAATAAACCAACTCCAAATATGTGTTGAAAAGTTGCACTTGAAAAAAGTATGATCCACCTCCTATCATTCAAGTGACAGAAAGGACAAGTCACCAACTTCAAATTAACACCTCTATTAACAAGATTTTTAGCCATCGGAACTTTATTGGAAATCACATGCCAAACAAAACAATTAATTTTAATTGGAACCCAACTAATTATAGTCATTTGAAAATTAATCATTTTAAAAAAAAAAGTTTGAATCCTATATCTTTCAACCTTAGGATGATCCGTACTAAAAAAAACTATAAAGTTACTAATAACTACATTGTTTTAATATAGAAGCTAATTAATTAAAAAATAAGTTATATTGGCATGCAATCTATCATTAAGGAACAATGATTTACTAATGATTCGTATTAGGTTGATGCGAACATATTAAATTGTAAGACATCAGCACACCTATAATATAAATGCATAGTTAACAACAAACAACCAATAAATATGTTCTACATAACTATTTACTAGTAAGTATGTACAGCGTTATTTGAGTACATATTTTTTTTAATAATGTATATTTACATTGTTGGGACATAACTTTTGTAAATAACAATAAGCAAAAATCTTATTTTTCGTAGAGACATGTATAACAAATAGATTAAAACTAAAAAGACCATAAGCTAAATACATAAATCCAAGTGAAAAAAAAAAACCTAAAACGAAACGCAAAGATTATCTTAATCACAGAAACAATTCATGTAATTTACTCTGTTATAATAATATAGTAGTTTAATCATATCCATTAGTTATATATAAGATAAATCGAATAAAAAACACTAAGTTTACATAAAATTTCGATTTTAACGATATTTTTTTTTTCCTAATTAAGTCACTAAGTTTATAAGTTTGTTGCAAATTTAACGAATCGACCAGTTATTTTATTTATTTATTTATTTTTTATTAAGGTGTTTTATGTACACACTTTTTCTTATTTCTTATTCTTTTTATTTTTCTCTTAGAACATTACGATTCAATGTGATGACTTCTCAAAGTCGTTCAAGTGATTCGTCTGCCTGTCTATTTGATTAATTATATAGTATGCCAATTTCAAATTATTAGGAGAGTTGAATTATTTATGTAAGGACATTGTCATCAAGTTGTATAACAAAATAGACTTTGTATGTCCCTCCGGATGGTGCATGAGATATGTTATCATCTTTCCTTCCTAGATATATAATATTTTTATAACAACTTATAATATAATAGTATAAGTTAAAAAAAATGATTTTGTTATATATTTTGACAAAATTAAGTAACTTCCTTAAATAAACAAGTCACTTAACCGTCGTTTTTCTTATTATACGGTGAAGAAGAAGAATATTATTTCCGTTGAGTCCCTCCGCCGGTTCTGGTTCTCTCTAACGACTCCCTCCTCCTCCTTCACGTCATCTTCAACCTCTTCACGTCTTCTATAGAAACATACGCGCATGCATTTCACCATTTATCTCTATATCGAAAGCCTTCGGTTCATTTTCAAGTCACCGGAGGCAGCTTTTGCCAATCAGAATTGTTAGCCAAATAAGGAGCCAAGGAATTACACAAGTTTTGGAATTGATCTGGTTTCGTGTGCGTAACAGTTAGGGTGTCGACGAATCTTACAGAAATGCCATTGGAATCGTCTTCAGACCACGAAGCGGACGATTCCGATGCTGAGTTCGTTGAGATCGATCCCTCCGGTCGTTATGGACGGGTTAGCACGCTTCATACAAAGAATTTATCGTTTTTATTGACGTTTGTTAGATATATTGGTTCTTATTTCGGATGACTATATTGATGTAATTTGCAGTATAAGGAAGTGCTAGGAAAGGGGGCTTGCAAAAAGGTGTATCCTTTTCACTCGCTTTCGTTCCAAATAAAAGCTAGCTATAGGCTGCCTTTTGATATTCAATGTTAAACTCAAACCACTTATATGTCAACTTCATAATTGCTATGAATTTTACACCTAATTACAAGAAATATTGCGAACTAGGTTGAACTTTGTAAAGCAGTGCAAATATAGCATTGTTGGTGAACTTTGTAAAGCAGTGCAAATATAGCATTGTTGGTGCTAAATTAGTTCCATTAAGAAATCACTAAATTAGCTCATTCTTGCAAATCATAGCGTTTACCTTTGAATTTCTGCAAGAATTGTGGTTTGTTTGTGACAGAAGCCAAATATCATGCTTCAAAAATTATCTATTTTTCAAGTTTAAAAGTATTGACTAGCTATAAAATGGATTATATGGTGTATATGGTAAAATCCTTGATCGCATATGGGATATTTAGATATAGAGCATTTGATGAATTGGAAGGAATTGAAGTAGCTTGGAATCAAATAAGGATTTCTGATTTCTTGAGGAACCCTGAGGAGTTGGAGCGTCTATACTCTGAAGTTCATTTGCTTAAAACACTTAGGCACAAGAACATCATCAAATTCTACAACTCTTGGGTTGATACAAAGAACGACCATGTCAACTTCATCACTGAGATCTTCACATCTGGGACATTAAGACAGTATGTTTTGATTCATTTTTATTTATGGTTTTCATAAGCATGTAGTTAAGATCATGCTAGAAATTTTTGGTAGGTACCGAAAGAAACATAAGCATGTAGATTTGAGAGCATTGAAGAAATGGTCTAAACAGATATTGGAGGGGTTAGTGTATCTTCATAGTCATGATCCTCCAGTTATTCATCGTGACCTCAAGTGTGACAACATTTTTGTCAATGGAAATCAAGGAGAGGTAAAGATTGGTGACCTTGGATTAGCTGCCATTCTTCGCCAAGCTCGTTCTGCTCACAGTGTCATTGGTGAGGCCAGGGCAATTTTGTAATTTTCATCTATAATGTTTATAAAATAGCTACTGATCATCCATGGTGAGTGAATTATTGTTTTGTGTTTAGGAACTCCTGAGTTCATGGCACCAGAGCTTTATGAAGAGGATTACAATGAACTTGTGGATATTTATGCATTTGGGATGTGCTTACTTGAATTGGTGACATTTGAGTATCCATATGTTGAATGTACCAATGCTGCTCAAATATATAAAAAAGTCACATCTGTAAGTGATTCATTTTAGCTATAATATACAAATAAGTAAAAGTTATTTCTTGCAATTATCCCTTAAATGAATAGAGGTATAAAACATTGTTTCATCAAAATGTTTGCAGAGATTATACATAAATCAATAATTTTTACCTTCTACTTGTAATGTTCTTTCTTATCTTTGAATTATCAGTGTTCTCATTTCTTGGAAGTTGCTTAGAAGATGATTTGAGATTATTATTATTTTTTTTAGGGTGTGAAGCCGGCTTCATTAGCAACAGTGAAGGATCCTGAAATCAAATCATTTATCGAAAAATGTCTTGCAAAAGTCTCTTATAGATTAAGCGCCAAGGAACTGTTAATGGACAATTTTCTTCATGCTGATGAGGATTATAATAACATAAATAAACAAAAACACTCTGATCCTGATCCAGGTTACAATTTTTGCCTTAAATTTATATTTTTCTGCCAGAAATTGACAAATACAAGCCAATTACCAAAAAAATAATCAACATTTCACATTTTTCTTAAAAAATCCACCAATTTCACAATGGCTTGTTGCGAAATGCACTATTTGTAATGGTCCCCACTAAAAAAATTAGTACACATTGCAAAAACGAAGTCTTAGGTTGAGATATTTTACAAAAAAAAAATCTGGTGTAAAACGAGTAAAATAAAAAAATCCCTTAACTATAGGAACCAGTTTCGCAGTAGTGCATTTTGGCAATAACCTCACTGTGGAATTTCTATTTGTGGAATTTAGTTATTTTTTGGCTAATTTTTTGTAAAGTAACTAAAAAAAGAGGCTAAATTTGATTTTCTCTTGTTGTGCACGTAAACGTAATTGTGATGGTTTTGTATAGGTGGCGACACTGAGAACGTTGAAACTCCAAACAACTCTATGCCTGATACTGCTAGGGATTTCACAGTGATGGCTCAAGTCAGAGACCCAAACACCGTATTCTTGAAACTACGTATAGAAGATGTAACAGGTAATTAATAAAACATTTAGATTTCTTTATATTTTAACAAATGATTATTATATTATATACTTTTTCTTAATTAGGTAATGTTCGGAATATCCACTTCCCCTTTGATATCGAAGCTGACACACCAACTGCAGTTGCAAGAGAAATGGTGGAAGAGTTGGATTTAACCGATCAAGACGTGTCTGTAATTGCCGAAATGATTGAAGCAGAAATCCGTTCATGTTTTCCTGACTGGGCACTAACGGAATATTCCAATGACGGCAATGAATTAGCTGACCCTCAATACGATTCTCCTTCCCCATCAACCAACAAATCCTGTGCTTCTCCTGGACATTTATCTCTTGAACGATTGCCTTCTGGTAGGAGATACTGGAGCGATGCACCCAAAACTGGTTGCTCTCCACTTAAACCCGTTCCTTCAGATATCGATGAAGAAGAAAACACCCAACCATTTCCAAATGATGATGATGATGATAATGATAATGATGTGAATATGATTGTGGAGAAAATTGAACAAATAATGGTTGATCAACAAAAAGAGTTGGATGAGCTTAAAAAGAAACATGGATTGATTGTATCAAAATTTTTGATGAAACTTTCTCCCGAAACCCGACAAGAAGTTGTTACCATTTGTAAAGTCGAGATCTCAAAAGAAGATTCTGATATGTAAGTCACCTTTTTAACTTTAAAATGGGCCTACTGGTAAGGAGGTGAGAATCCATATGATTTTATAAGATTTCAAAATGTTTGCAGAAAAGGTGAAGATGGAGATGAGGAAGGAGGAAATGGAAAGCATAGCCCGGGACGTTTGTTCAAGCAGAAGTTCAAGACCAGGATAGAGTATACGAGGCCAAGCAGGGGTATTGCTGTAATTTTGAGAAACGATAGTGCGAATTCATGACATTTGAGGGTCCCAAACATTTTGAATAAAGATTGTTGTGTTGGAGGGAATTGTATATATGATTATTTGTTAACACGAAGAGGTTTGATTTATGTTTGAGTAGTTGAGTTAAGTTGTGAAATTTGAAGGACTTTGTAGATGGATATTGGGTGAATGTTGTATTGACATGTTGCATTTGGTTTCAAGTTTCGATGGCTTGGTAGGTATTGGGGGGAAATTTGAAGGGGTTAATAGATATTGGCTTGAATTTTCAAGGGTTTGGTGGATAATGGGGGGAATTTCAAGGGCATAGCAGATATTAGGGGAAATTTCAAGGATTTGGTAGATATTTAGAGATTTTTTACAGCTTAGTAGATAATTGTTGAAACTTGAAGGTCTTCATAGATATTTGGGGTATCTTTTAAAGGCTTATTGTTTATTGAAATTTCAGGGACCTGTAGTTTTTTTTTTTCTTCAGAGTTTAGAGGGTGTGTGGGATTTCATTTTGATTTTTAAAAGGATTTTTAGACAAAATGACTTGTTGACTTATTGTGGTAGGAAATGATTTTTTTTTTTTTTTTTTTTTTTTTTTTTTTTTTTAATTTGGATTAATTTTTGTGGTGGGAAAAATTAATAAGTCAATAAGTTGTTTTCTAAAAAATGTTTGTCTAAGTTGAAGGGTATTTTAAGTTAATATTGACTTTTACAACTCAAAAAGTCGTAAAGAGTTTAGAAAATTTACAAATTCTAACTTCTTAAAGTCTCTTTTTTTAAGGGTTAAAGAGAAGTTTTAAAAATCTTTTTCTTTTTTGCTATACACTTTTTTTTGATTTATTGATTTTTCAAAAAGCCAATAAGTCAATAAGTTGTTTTGAGATGAAATCCAAAACATCCTCTTAGTATTGGGTAGATTTCAAGGCCTTAGTTAATATCGGATGTAACTTCAAGGGCTTGGTACATATTTGATAAATAGAAAGGCTTGATAGATATTTGTTGAAAATCAAAGCGCTTAATAAAAGTTGGGGGAATTTTCAAAGCCTTGGAAGATATTAGGAAAACATAAAGGGTTAATATGTATTCGTTGAAATTTCAAGGGCTTCGTAGCAACCATCCATAAGCCGACTTGGGGTTTGAAGCTACGACTTCTTTTTTCAATGTCATCGATTTGCCCTTCCATCTACCAATCACATAACCATCACCATTTCTTTTCAATCGAATCCTCACCCACATATGAATGGTGTATTCTTTGAAGCTGCATTCAGGAACATACGACACCTCCCCTTACGTATATTGCCTTGTTGTTTTTCATAATCAACTACAAGGAACCAAATTCGGTTTCAAAGGAGTAGAGCAAAAGATCGATGTAACGTCCCAAAAATACTAGTAAAAATTTCATTTTTAAACCACAAAAAACCGTATAATCATTTGTTCAAAAGCCAACCAATGTATAATGTATTCTCAAACATCAGAGTAAATCAAAATAGATAATGCAGAATAAAACTTCAGGGGATGTTGTGCGATCAAGTCGGGTCCTTCCCTTTGGAACCAGTACCTGAAATATTTAAACATAAAACCGTAAGCACAAAGCTTACTAAGTTCCCCCAAAATACCACATAACCATATGGGTCCCGCCCACAAACATAATGGGCCCCACCCAATTAGCTTAACGGGCCCCGCCCAACTCACATATCGAGCCCCATCCATTATACATAATCGGCCCCGTCCAATTCACATAACGGGCCCCGCCCAACATACATGTAAGAGTCACAAAGACAACTAGCATTCTTACATAGTATAGTCAGAAAACTCACCTAAAAACGCAATCGATAATTAACGAGCTCACACAGTCGAAAAGCGGGTGCTACACACCTCCTAATGTTATAAAAGGTAAACCCTTAGTCTACCTTCTAAAACTAGCAATATGACTAAAAAACAACCATTTTAAAAAGTCAATGCTAGCTGACCTCCACGTCGTGGCCACCCATTGGCCATGTCGTGGCAGCTTCACGACAAAACAGTCACGACCAGACCAACCACCACGTCTTGGCAAGCAAGTCGCCACATCGTGGCAAGCAAGTTGCCTACACAAAGACAACTTAAGGGATTAAGCTCTTATTACACTAATTCTTCACCTCTCACTCTTCATGAAGCTTATTGAGACCCTTATGGTCTATAAAAATCCAAATTTTATGGATATGCATGTCCTTCACCCAACTAAGTTAAAATATGAGAAAGATGACCTAAACCACAAGCATGACTCTACAAACTCAACCAACTTCTAGATCCATAAGGTATAATACTCAAGGGGCCTTGGTGGGTCATAAAGTTGCAAAATTTATCTCATTGAACCTTTCAAGTCACAACTATGAACTCAAATATGCAAATAACCCTAGATCTACTACTAAGGGACCAAAAAGATCAAGTCTTGAAGTCTTACAAATGGTATAGAGAGTGATCCCAAAGATGGAGATGAGTTGCTTGCTTGATCCTTACACTAAAATCTTCTTCTCCCCCCTTCAAAGCGCACCAAAACACAAAAATGAGCTCAAAGTTTGCAAAGAGGCTAGGGTTTGATCAAGAGCACTTTTGGAGGTGATGGAAGAAACCCTAGCCATCACTTCCTTTAAATAAGGTCTTAGAGCCCGAAAAATAGGGTTTTTGCATATTTGTCGTCACCACATTGCATCCATTGCATGACCACGTTGTGGTGTCAAATTGAAACATGCATTTCACACAGGATTGCCACGTCGTGGTGATCCCCTCACCACGTTGTTGCCACCCAAATTTCCCAAAATTAAACAATTGAAATTCATACCTGAAAATGGACGTTACAATTGAATGACCAGATTGCTTAAAATCCAGAAACCAAAACCCCATTCTGCATTTGGAGCTATGACTTTTTAGGTTTAAATTATAAGGGATAGATTACATATACATGGGGAAGAACAAGAAGAAGATGAAGCATGAACCTAGTGGTAGCCAACATATTCAGGTGTATCTTTATGAACTTTATAATTTTTTTTGCTGCTTTGCCTTTTAATTTAGGGAATATTTCCTTACTTATGATATTCGAATTTGATTCGTGTGTTTGGCAGTCAGAATTGGAGGTACATTAATCAGAGCAGAAATTACGCGACCAAAGGCATTAGATTTGTAGTCGATGCTTCTGTGTTTTAAGAAATTTTCTCTCTGTTATTTGTTTCGAAGGTGTATATTAGGATTTAAGAATACCAAATAGATTTTAACTTTTGATGCCTAAAGGTTTAATTCACAGTTGTAAGATTTAGACATAAAATTTTTTGGCGTATGAATTTGAGAAAGTGGTTTTCAATTTGGCTTCTAATTTCAAAAGAGTCAAGTTTCAATTGTGGTATTTATATGGATTTCTTGCTTATTTAGAATAGGTGTCAACAAAGATATTACTGTGAACTTCAACATTGGGCTAAAAGTATGCATTTGTAAGTATGTGGGGTTTATGAGTTTATGTAATGTGGTTTACTGTTTAGTTCCCAGTTTGATTAACAAAAGAGATGATCGAAAGGAGGTTTTACAAGCAAGAACATGGGGATAAAGATGTCCCTTCGGATTCTTCATCATCTTTAGAATCTGAACTGGAAGCATCAATAGACACAAAAGAAGAAGCAGAAGAAGAGGAAGAAAATAATGACAACATGGTTATAGAATCAAGAAAGACAGACCATATTTCCTCATTTTCTGGTAATAATAATATAATATTATCTTATATTTGCATCCAATGATTAGACTAGTTCAAGCACCATCAACAACTATCTCTCTAAATCGACATTTTTGTCCATTTACAATGCTGACAATAACTCCATATCTTACCATTTACAAGAATGTCAATTTTCAGTTGAGTTTGCCTTTTATGATAAAAAATTATATTTGGTGTATTATTTATCTTGATTGTAGATGGATACTCATCACTGATTGGTTGTATTTATTTGTATGATATTACTACAGACATGTATGTGTACTCATCTAAATTTTTGTTAAACACAATTCGTGTGGTTATTCCATACTTTGAAGATAAAAAATTCTACATTTGTATATACTTTCATTGATCATTTGTTATTCATTATTGTTTCAATCATGCCAAGACTAGAACGGTTATTTACTCTAAACAGAAGGGTTAAATGGTCAATTTCACACATAAACAGTCGTTTGTTATCCAACATTGCTTCTAAACAATTATGAATGATATTATTGCTTTCATCTAACTTGTGCTTTGTTGAACTTCAATTTATGACCTCTCATTTATGCAAAATACATGAATTCCTATGTTGCTTTTGTGACTGTAGTCTACTTTAAAATTTATTTTTTAATCTTTTAGGTTGCACAGGTGACAAGATCTGGGGACTTTGATTTAGAAGATACCTTTCCTTATGGATAAGGGGTCACCATGATTTACTTCTGAAACTTAATCAATGGTGTTAATTTACTTTGTTGGAATTTAGTAATCCAACTCCTTTTATCAGGTGCTTATTCATCATATGATCTTCATTTTATCCAATTTAATCCTTCATGATGATGACTTTTTTTTTGTTTTGTCTTGAACTTATGTCAACTCATGAAATGTTTTACTTTCTGTTACTTTAGGAGACGTGAATATATTTGATAATAAGGACACAGTGCTTTTGCAACAAAGGAAGAACAAACTATGATGTATAAAGTTAAAGATTAAAAGATGCATGAAAAAATGGAATGATTTTTCTTATAAGGAAAACAAAAATACAAACCTAATTTTGTTTTGTTATCGCTTTAACTATTCACTATAATGATTAACGATTAAAAGGATTTTGTAAATGCTCAAAGCAAGTAACTTCTAAAAATGGCCTTTTATAACAACTTAATGAAAGTAGGTTGTAAAAGGCCTCCCTTTGGAATTTGAATTATGTTTCTCAACCTTTTTATTAAATATTACAGATTAAGTTTTTAGGTAAATAATGCTATTAAAATTTTTGGTAGATGTGTGAAACATCCCAATATGAGGTACTTCTAAATTAAACTCTTTAATTTATTTATATTGCATTTGGTCCCAAAGTTCAAGAAATGTATGCAAGAAGGGCCTAAAGGGGGCATTGTTGTAAATTGGGGACCTTCAGAGTACACCATGCGTACGTGGTGTACGTTGAGCGTACTAGGGCGCGCCCTA